ATCTAATGATTACTCATCAGCCTGTGCCAACTCTCCAGGGCTTGCTACCAGACTTTCTTGCTCCGGCTACCTCCAAACTTACCGGGAATCTAGCGAGGTCATTTCCGGCCTCCTGACATTACCTCCTAACATGGCACATGCAGCTGTGGCTACAAAGCCATCTTCGGCAGTAAGTACTTCTCCAGCTGGCCCTTTAGAATCGGGAGAACTGCAACAAGTGGGACCGACGGTGCGGCTCGGAAACCAGTACACCGAGATAATGCGTCCACAATGTGAAGGAGATTATGGGTTGCGAAGGATGGAAGGAGTCCTTACCTATCAAAGCCAGCATGAGGAAACCATGAGCAACTTCGAAAATAGTGTGATTGATAAGGACCTTGAGAGTGATAGCATCCGTCGATCCAGTGTTGAGACAGATCTCGACGCCGGAAGTGAAGATGATACCAATGGCTGTAGCAACAGCAACAGTAGTGGTAGCAGTAGCAGTAATGGCCTTGATATTGGTGCTGTGAGCATGCGGCATGACACATCCACTTGCGCTCTGATGCAGATGGATATAGAGAACAGTAAGCTGACCCCACTTCAGGCTGTATCAAACCTCAGTGATAGTGAAACCCTGCCACCTGCTTCCTCGATGTCGTCACGCAATCATGCGTCTTTTGGCTACGCTCAGCAGTATCCGCATAACTTCATTGATCCCAATTCCCATCTGCAATCATCACATGCTGAAGCTTCTCAGCCTCACCCACCCTTCACTTCTCATTATATACATGCACATAGGTCTTTTCCTCCATCCTGTCAGCTACAGGATGACCAGATGCAGCACCAACAGCCTTCCCATCCAGTTCAAGCCTACAGTTCATCTTCACAACCCAACTCACATTCCCAACCCTCCCACCATCACCATCTATACTCATTACCAAATCACCCAACGACAGCAGCATATTGTTATAACTTCCCCAGATATTTGGTTTAAGTATCTTTTAATGAGAAAAACTTACTTTTTTACCAGAAATCTAACCAGCACTTCGGTTGGACCAATGATTTCCCTCGCCATTATTTCGCATTTACTGTTATTCCCTTTTCGCCCAACGGGCATAGGTGCATGATGAATTCAGATTGTGGCACTTATTTTAGAGAGTTTCTTAAACTTATCAATATCTGGGGCAATTTCTGCTACTTGAATGCCTATTCTTGTCAGTTGAATAGTATAATAGTCACCCAGTTTCCAAGCCGCCAATAAATGAAACTAATGTAATTGGAACCTTTTTAAAGCCAGACCACTTGGCTAGCAAATCTTTCACGTAATTTACTCTTAAAGAGTTATGTACAAAGTTTCAGTCTGACTTACTTCCAGTATTTAATTTTAAACAATGCACCAGAAAAACATTACACAATTCACATGTATACAGACGATGAACGTAACAGGAATATAATATATATATATATATATATAATAAAATATGAAAACCTGAAATGTGTATTGCACAGATCTTATATCAGACGTTGAAATTTGTGTTTAGGCCAAGCCTTATTCTATCCTCTAGGATAATTTAAATGGATATTATTAGCAATGGTTAATAGTGAACACTATAATTATTGAAAAGTAACTAAAAAAATTTAATGACAATTCTAAAACTGCGCTTGGAACTCATAAGGAGCTTAGTCAGATTTGAAAAGCTTATGGATCCCATTCGAATAGAGAGATATCAAAGAATCTTGGTTTAATCAATATGCTATAGGTTGATGAACTTCTAAATATCGTGAAGTTTCAGTCCCCGAATCATAACTAAAAGTCATCTAATCCTGGCTTCTATTACGATCTATTACGTTTTGAGGCAATACTTTCAATGCCCTTATATGGTAACTATCATCGGAAATGAATTTACGTTTACGATAAAGGGAATTAGCGACGCAACATTTGAATTAGTTTCTGCACAGCTACATGGATATTAGGCTTTATAAACAATGGATGCGACACTATCATTAGAAACTTTATTATAGGCGAAGTTATCATCCTGGGTAAACAGTACTTTCAAATCCGTATAGGCCTAGTAAACAACACCATTGCTTTTATAACTTGGAAATATTTGCTGGAGCAACCAATTGGCATGCGGTATTCTCATTTATGTGGATTTCACTATGCATGCCTATACAATATGTGTCTGGCTTGGATACCGAATGTGAACCGGGTGATTTTATAAAGCATTTTACAGATGACAACCCAAGGTGAAATGAAGTGACTTATCAAGTGCAATTCTTGCCCAGTTTAACTATTTTAAAAGATAAATTATTTGCCAATAGATACATGCATATTAGTGAAATGACTATCATTTGGCGCAAAACTATGCTGTAAAGATATTCGTAGATCGAGCCCGCCATAAGATTTCGGCGCATTCTCCGTAGTCTGCTGTCTGGATCTCCTTTGGCGATCTTTCAAATGCAATTATCGAGACCCTTGTTCAGTAGTTCTGGTGAAATAATGCTAAAATTCCGTATCATTTCACTTGGATATCATCCAAGTCGTAATTTGGATTCAGGTTAGCAGATATAGGCCTATGGGATGAGAATTTAGACAGACATAATCAGTTGTTACCTGTAAAAATTGTCCTTAGCAAATAAAATTTTGAATGGAGACTATTTGGGATAAGATGCAGAGACCTGAGTATGAGCATAGTCCTTCATGCTTTAGAATATGTTTTAAAACAGTGAAAACAATAATAAGATGAAGAATAAAGACAATTTTCGAACAAATTTATACAATAATCTTTATTTTACAGGATTAAAGAGTAAGCTGAACAATTAACCAGGCCAGGCAGCCAAGAAATTTTGTTGCGATTACCATCATGCTGAGGAGATTTGCCCTCTTTTTTCCTAAATTATGGTTCTAGAGACTGAGTTGAGTGGAAAGAAGTGGCTTTAAACGTGGAATAAACAGCACAATTAATAGAAAAACTGGAGTTCATTTGTTGTGAAAGTTGGGTATAGGTGATTCGTAACTTGATCTCATCGAAAAACGGAGATTTAGTGTTTCAAAAGTTAACTAGTCGGTGAAGTCCTTGGCCTGGTCCTGAAACTCTGATGAGTTTGTGCAAATATTTCGTTTATATGAGATGTAGTCACACTATTTCGTTTAAGGTGATGAAAGATTGGTAGTTTAATTTTCCCCCAGTGGGAGTCGAATTATGACAGTGCAGTGTGCAAGCTCGAAACGCCACGAGTGCCCTTAGGTCGAAATTGCAGTCAACTCGGGATGTAAACAACTTTTGGGAAAGCAAGGCTATGAGAAATTCACTGGAAACGTCAGCCCTACTCATATAATTGTGGGAAAATTTAACTACCAGTCTTTCGTCACCTTAAACGAAATATGGTGAACACATCTCATATAACTGATCTACTGGTAGTCTCGAAACTCTGTTGATAAACAAAAAATAGAGATTTCGTTAGTCAGAGTTTGATACAATTTGTTATCGAACTTTAACAGAGACCAAGCTGAAATACAAAATACTTATTTTAACTTAAATTTTCGAACTTAATAAGGCCTCCTATCGTTTGCTTGGCTAATTAATGCTTATCCTGCATAGTTGTAGATAAGTGAGGTTGTATGGATGTGTTTTAAAGACTTACGTACAGAGACTGAAGTTTAATCCTGTAGTACTGACGCCTTTTTTGCTATGTGGTTGTATATATATTCTATGTATAAAATGCCCATGAGTCCGTTGGTCTGTTAGAGCCCTAACTAGATTCCATGCTAATTTAACCTCCTAGAACTCAGTATTTCATCCTGATTTCTACCCTAATTCCACGTAACAGCCAGTAGTGATTATTTCTCAATTTTATATATTCGGTAATTCTATTCAGTCCATTTTTAAAGATTTTACTTCCCCTAAACCTCCTCCTAACTAGAAAATCTCCATACAGAGGGTTTTTATTCTACGTTCTTTATAAGCCTAGTATTCAGCCAGTTAGTATTTCCACATCTGCAAAGCCCTGCAAGTGGTTGTGTGATCAAATAATCTCTTAGGTCTTGTCCGACAGGTTTCTTTCACATATATTAAAACCGGAGAAAATCCACGTATTACATCTTTATGTGAAGATTGGTTCCGAATATTGTGAAAAGAAGGCAACCGATAAAGTTTTACGGCATCCAGGAGATTTGAATCCTTTGCCCATTTTTCTCAGTTCTTTACCTACCGTTTACGAAATATATCAGAATTTCCAAGTCAGGAGCCTAAAAGAGTTGTCCAACTCTCTGTCTTGCCTTAAATAACAGTTTCCCTTTACTCCATCTTCAGAATTGTTAAATGGTAATCGAATAAACCCGAATGGAAAGTTGTTATGAGACAAAATCAATTTCAAGCTTCCTACATCCTGATTCCGGTGAATGTGGCTGTTGGAAGCATTATAATCCTTAAATTCATAAAAGCGGATGAAATTCCGTAGTTATTGTGCGATTTTGTTCCATAGCGTAAGAAATTCGTTTTCCCGTGTTTCCGAACAGCGAAGTAGTCGTCCGAATAGTTGACCAAAAGTTTCCGCACCAGGGGGCTTCTTGAATTGGGGGAGCCTCCGATTAAGCCAATTACTAGCTCATTAAAATTGGACCCACTCACGACCCCATAACTAAAACTCATGCTTGCTCAAATGAACTACCGGTTAAGGTAAATTAGGTACCCTTCCCCATTAAGTTAGTCAATCTGAAAATTTTTTTTCCTTCTACGACTTGATCGACTTTGGTCTTTTTCATCTTTTGAAGTTTCATGATTAATTCTGATTCGCATAACCCAAAAGTTTATCTTCAAATTTATTCTTCTTCTGTCAAAATACCCAAACATTCAACTTATCATCTTTTGTTCGTAATTTAAGCGAGTCATTCGAACTAAGGGCGTCTTACAAGGTTTGCCTAATTTTATATTTGATTCATATTAAAGAATGTAAATTTCATATGCTTTCCTTAAGCATAATGTTGGGCAAATCATGTGATAATCTCTGAAGATATTTATGAGGCAAATTTTACCTACAATTAGGAAATATTTAGGAAGAATCCCACGTCTAGAACAAAATTTCAATAAATCTATGTTGCCAGCTCGTCTGACCAGCAATTTCTTAGTTTTGAGGTAAGTTGAAAAAGTATATCACGTCGTGCGCACCCATTTTGTATATCTTACTTGTTAAATACTACTACGCGAGACGATATTCCGGTGTCCATTATTGCCAGAGAGACCAATGGGCAGGAAACTAGTGTGTAGCAAAAGTAATGTACAAGTTGAATAGTAGCAAAAGGTATCACTGTTAGCTTGTACTTATTGGATGCTCAAAATTATCCCTGGTTGTTGAGTAGGCCGAGGAAATTAAAATTCAGGAGTAGATTTCATGGAAAAATGGCGCGTGGTTGGGTAAAGGGACCTCATGATATCAGTGTTAGTGGCCACTGGTCCTGTCCTGGTTGTTTAAAATACTTCGTAGATGAGCTCTGATGGAGTGTGAGATCTAAACGTTCAAAAAACGGTTGAAAAAAACGAAGCCTCTAAAGTGAAGTAGAGGTAGCGCTATGCAAACATTGTGAAATAAGTCTAGCATATACGAAGAATAACTATGGTTTCGATGAATCTCCTGAGATATCATTGCTGAAAAGACTCTTACTTCGTGTGAAGGTGCATAAAAAAGAGATTCAAAGGTTGATCTCACAAGAAGACGACGGCTGATTCCCGTGGTACCCAAGCCATTTGGCTTTAATATGATATTCAGGCTGACATGGTCCACAAGACATCCTCCCTCGTTTTGAGTAATTACTGGATGAACTTTCGTCCATCATATGATGGACATCATCAGAGCTGGAACTTATTTTTGCAAAAGTTTTACGTTACGGTTGTGACATATGCTTTCCTAACCTGACTTACACCCTTACGGGTTTACATCTCATTATCTTAGCCATACTTGCCTACGGACTTACACAGTCTCGGTCAGGGCTTCTTT